TTAGCCAGCACCATGAGTCCATGTAGAGAAAGTGACCCTGAGCACTCGTCTACCTTGCTGTCCATTGTGGTAAGTATGTTCACCTTGTCCTTTATGATTAAGTGCTCCCACCTCACCTCTGCAATTCTGGAATTTTTATCATCTTCACAAATAGTAGGCAGCCTAGTTACACAGCATCCTCTCCACTACCATCCACCCTGGACTACAAGGACAGTCACTACCAATGGCCTCTGTACTAGTGCATCCTTTATTGCCTTAGTGTGGTGAGCGTCTTCTGGTCTGGCCCTGGGAACTAGTCAGGTGGTGGGTTCTGAAGCCACACTTAACCCTTCACAATTCCCTCTTTCCTAACTCTTCTGATGTCTTCCTCAATGCTGCACAAGGAAGTCTGCTTTCTCCACTTTGCTTATTGTTGAGACCAGGTTTCAAAGATCCGTCCAAGCAAACATGGAGATTAGGACAAGCTCTAGGCACCCTTGCTAAAACATTAAATGTGGAGTTCTTTAAAAAAATTTTTTTTAACATTTATTCACCTTTGAGAGATAAGAGATAGAGGGCAAGTGGGGGAGGGGCAGAGAGAGAGGGAGACACAGACTCTGAAGCAGGCTTTAGCTTCAGGCTCTAAGCTGTCAGCACAGAGCCCAACATGACGCTTGTACCCACGAACCATAAGATCGTGGCCTGAGCCTAAGTCTGATGCTTAGTCAACTGAGCCACCTAAATGCTTAGTTCTATATGAATATCCCCAAATCAGTGAGTTCTTCCCATTGAGCTTTCTGTTTCTCCCTCCCATCCCCAAATATAACCTCTTCAAGATCCATACACATTTGTAGAGTTCTTGCCAGGGCACATTAACCAAGCCCTACAATATTTTTGGCAGGTATGATTTTTATCCTTGGGGCTTCTTTTTTTTCTTAAGTTTGTTTTATTTTGGGGCGAGAGAGAGAGAGAGAGCACACATGCTTGAGCTGGGGAGGAGCAGAGAAAGCAGGAGAGAGAAAGAATCCCAAGCAGGGTCTGTGCCAGCATGAGACCATGGCCTGAGCCAAATCAAGAGTTGGACGCTTAACCAACTGAGCCACCCAGGTGCTCCTGGAATGGGGCTTCTTCTTTACACCACGGGCTGTGCTACCACTTGACTCTGGGTATTGGTGGAGGCAATTGGTGGAGTGGTCTTGAGGAGAACAAGCCATGGAGAGGGGGCTCTCCATGTGGGCAGGAGCATTCACTAGGGACTTGAAGGGTCAAGACGCTCAACAACTGAGAATCCCTATTCCAGGACTCTGGGTCCCCCTCTTTCCCTATCAGCATTCTGACGTTGGCATGGAAGCCTGTGAAGGTCATGTATTAGCATTCTTTGCAGTCCTGTTACTATGTGATCAGGCCCTGGGCTTGATTGGAAGAGTCTATCCTACGGTTTCAGGAAATAAGACTCTCTCTTAAAGTTGCCATGGGGGCTCTCTGGCTTTCAGAGCATTCCATGAGTTGGTAATTAACTGCTCTGAACCTGTCATTTTCTGTTTCCAAGGTCTCTCACACCTTATAATTATCACTGTTTCCAAACTGATTGAGTGCCACAGCTACTTGATCTCCTAATGTCTTGCTCTCCATCCAATTGGCCACAATTAAAAGAAGTGAAAGCTGCAGTGCTCTTGCATATCAGAGTTATTACCTTCCTTCTTGTCATCAGCAAAGGATTCTAGTGATTTCAGACAGGTGGGCAATACAACCCAATATAATCCATCCTGAGCATTTGCTTTCTAGAATCACTTGCAGAACCAATTGTTTTAGCTCAGTTTCCCTAGAAAGCAGAATCTAAAGCAAAGACAAATCTGACTGAGAAGGCAGCAAGAGTGAGTGAAAAGGGAAATGGAGTAGGAAAGGATGGAAAGCAATATAAGGTGCTGTGTTATATAGCAGGTAACTGCTTCCTGACCAGCTTCAGACAGCTTTGGAAGCTTACTCAGTAGGTATGTCTGCTCAATTGTGCAGGACATCTCCAGACAGGCTACGTTGGAGAATCATAACTCGAAACAGTCCATAGAAGTGAGGAAATAAAGAGAACTTCCCTGTCCAGCTCCCTCCCATCTCCGCTTTCTCATTGATCAAAAGGTTCCCCACAGAGAATTAATTCCTTGGGATTCATCATCTAACTTCTTTGATGGCTGCGTAGAAGTCACATCCTGCAGGCATTTCATCTGAGTGTGGAAGTAGTGGAGGAGTCAGACACTCTGCACGTGTGACGGACCAGCCTGGCAGTGCAGTAGGAGCCAAGAGGGACTTGCCTGGGGCAAGTGACTGGCCAGGTCCAGGGGGCTGGATTGCACAACTCTATAGCTGTGGAGGTAGCTGTAGAGCCAGGAGGCAGGCAAGGTCTAGCTAATGTGAGGAGGCACATAAGGTGTGTTTGATATATCCCTTAATAGGCTATTAATGTCAACAAGTGGTGAAGCCAGAAATATGATCTGTCAGGTAGATATTGCCTTAAGTGTCTCTGAGACCCCAGCAGCTGGCACTTGGAAGATGAGATACTATTTGATCCGTTTTTCTGGTTCCAGACCTTACACTACACACCTCTGCTATTCTGGTCATTATGTCAACCAACAGAAGTGACTATGCTCTCAGAGGTTGTGCAAATAGTCACCACGTGTCCCTGTTCAAATCAAAAGTTGGCTCTGTCCCACTGTGTGTATATATGCACAGCTACGTCACTCTTACTAACTACTTGAACTTTCAAAACCCATCATCTCTCTAGCCTGGGTTCAGCGTTATATAACACGAAATACACAAAGAAATGAAGAATAGAGTTGGCTGGTCCATGCAATAAGCACAATTCTTTAATGCAAAAGAATTCTCAACAAAAGAGTTCTCAGTCCTGCCCTGCGACAGTACGATTCACTGTAGAAAACTTCTTACCGCCATTTAGGGAAAGTAGCCAAATCTCATAGCTCTCTTCCTATACCATATCATGTGGGGGTCCCTACTGTGCCCTGCCCCCACGGAAGAAGAGAACACACATTTGGAATACTGGAGATGCACAAAAAAGGCTTCCCTCCACCCCCAGCTGTCAGGGAGTTCTGGGGTGCCTGGGGCAGGAACATGAACTGATAACCCTCTCTGGTCTGTAGGATTCGATTCAGGTAAAGTAGGATCCAAGGCCTGGTTTAATAGGGTAATTGTACTTGTTTGGACTTGGCCTGAGTGGGACATTGGGAATTGATGCCAAGGAAGGTGAAACTTGCCAGGCATTCTTCGATGTTCGCCAACTGATCTGATCACTTGAGCTTTGAGAGCTCAGTTTTCTCCTGAGGGATTGTGAGGTCAAATTCTCACCCTGTGTATAAAGGCTGCATCCTGAAATCCTCGCTACCACACTCCCCACCCCACGGATTTGAAAGTCCGAGGAAGTAAGGGGAGAGCAATGAATTTGAGAGATGAGAGAGAAAAGAAGAGAGGAAGGATGTTCAAGATGAGAAAACAGATCACTCACCGAGGCATGTTTTCTTTTCATCAAGAAATGAAACCTGAGACAATTATATGGTGAGAAGATAAGTTTCTTCCAGTTTCCTGATTTTTTTTCAGGGGTGCTATTTCACTTGCATTATTCAAATAATTTCCTGAATGGGCCCATTTCTTGTTGTCCAGATGGACCTAAATTATTATTCTCATTGTCCAGAACTCAGGTCTCCTCCCCCAGGGCCTGGCTGTCTGTGGTACCCCAGGGCCTCTGTCCACCATGCCTCTGTCATCAGTGGCTCTTTGACGACTGAATTCTTAATTCCAGGTTAACTTAGCATTGCCATCACAACTGCCTACGCTCTCAAAGCTGCCATGGACTTTAAAGAGAAAGGATATTAGAGCCAGGTTCCTAAGTGTCCCTAGGAGAAGAAGTCAGAGAATCATAGAACTTCAGAGCCAGCACAGACCTTGGAGTGGGGGGGATCTGCTCTCCTCTTTTCCGAAAGAGAAGTTAAAGCCCAGAACAGGCAAGTGCCTTGTTCTGGGTCACACAGCTTAGCCAACTGACAAACCTGGAGTTAGAGCCAGCTCTCAGGTCAGTAGTCTGGTTCTCTTCCCATCTCAGTTTGCTTTTCTTTTTCTTAAGGAAAAAAAAGAAAGATTCCTTTAAGGCAAAAGTCTTTCCTGGAGAGTATGGAAAGGCTCCCACTCTCCTCTGCATCTCTCCCACCCCTTCTCTAACTCAGTAGCTATGACAGACTAGTTGGGGCCTGGCTGACCTCCTGGGTTTAAGAGTCGCATATCAGCTTGGGTTTAGAAGGGATTTATTCACCATGACTGATGTCAGAGAATACATGCTGTGCCCCGTTGCTGGTTTTGGAAAATGTGTTTAATGTAAGATTAACACACACACACACACACACACACACACACACACACACACACGATTTAATTTTGTGCCTTCGTGTGACAGCCTAAATCATCCGTCACTCCCTGCTAGGGGCAGGCGACTGTGTGCAGCCTTCCTCAGGGAACGAAGTTCGAAGGACAAGCCTTCCTCTACCTCGGGGTCACTTCTTGGGTGGCTTTGTTTCTCCTCTGCTTCCCATTGGTGCAAACGCACGCAGTGCGACGACCCCTGGGGAAACTTCGTCTTAAGTCCCATGGGCAACCGCTCCAGCCCCGCGGGGCTCCTAGGACAAGACAGCGATCGGATTTCGCGTGGCGGCCCAGCTCCCCCTATTCCTCTCCCCTCCTGCCCGGGAACCCCCGGAGCCAATCAGAGCGTCGCGGAGCTCCCGGTTGTAGAGTCCCGAGCCCGGGACCCGCCCCTCTTTGTTGCGGTGGCCAATGGACGCGTTCGGAACATCGGCGGCTGCCCGGGTGACTCGGTTATATGTCACAGAATAACATTCGAGAATGGGACATGGAATGAGGCGACGGCCGCAGCAGCCCCAGCAGCCCCAGGCCCAGGCCCAGCCGCCGCAGCCGCCGCAGCAGCCCCCGCCGCCCCCGCCGCCCCCGCCGCCCGGAGAGGCTTCCTGGCCATGAGGCCGGCCGGCCCGAGGTAGGGTCCTGGGGCTGCGGCGCGCCTGCCTCGCGCCCCGCCCGCAGCCAGTCCCCGGGGTGCCTGGCGCTGGAACTCGGGGAGAGGGGCGGGTGGGGCCACTTGCACTGGCCCCTGGGAGCTGCAGCCGCCGCTCGCCCCCCGGCTCCGGGAGGGCCTCCGGGCGGAAACGGGGCCGCCTTTGCAAGGCGAGGCTGCTGCTGCGCCCTCGCGGACGCCCGGGCGCTCACGTGCCGGCACGTTCTGGGCTCGGCTGGCGCCCGGCCACATCTGGCACCAAGGAATGCGTGGAGCCTGGCGGGGACCTCGCGTTCCTTCACGCAGCACGAGCTGTCTTTCTTCTCCCTACCCGTCCGCTCCGCACCCTCCGCGCTCCTCATGTCCCCCTCCCGGGTGCCTGAGGGGCGTGTGAAGCTTTGGGGCAAAATCCGAGTCTCCTTCCTCCGGAATTGCAAGGCTGGAAGCTCGTGTTCAATTCCTGGAGGGGTCTGTCGGCGCACGGGGGCAGCGGGGAGTGACGCGGGGACACTCCGAGGCCCCACTGCCGTTGGACACAGCCCCCCGCCTCGTTCCTCTGGTGTGCACTTACCCGTGGTGTGTCTCCACTGATTTCAGGCTCGGCTCGTAAGCGGAGCATCAGCCGGCGCTCCCCGTTCGCGCGTCCTGCGGCAGCCAGAGGCGATGGAGAAGGCCGTCCCGGCGGGGCGCTGATCTCCGCGCCGCGCCCGCGCGCACACGCCCCCCGCCGCCGCCGCGCGCCCGCCGCAACCCCCGCCCCGCCCTGGTCCCACCACCATGACCGGCTCCGCGGCCGACACTCACCGCTGCCCCCACCCCAAAGGCGCCAAAGGCACCCGGTCCCGGAGCAGCCACGCGCGGCCCGTGAGCCTCGCCACCAGCGGGGGCTCGGAGGAGGAGGACAAAGACGGCGGGGTGCTGTTTCACGTTAACAAGAGCGGCTTCCCCATCGACAGCCACACCTGGGAGCGCATGTGGATGCACGTGGCCAAGGTGCACCCCAAGGGGGGAGAAATGGTGGGCGCCATCAGGAACGCCACCTTCTTGGCAAAGGTCAGAGGCTTCGGTGTACGCGATGGGGTGGACAATGAGGGGAACACTTCAGTCTGCACACAGCGAATAGAGGCAATGTCCATTTTCCGGGTCCTGCTAGCAACTCCCTTCAGCTTCCTAGTCTTCCGGCCAGCCCCTGCCCCTTGGCTTAATTGAGATGTTTGTCTTGGAAGCCTTAGAAATGGGGAAGGGAGAGGGAGAGGGCTTGCTGTTCTGGGACTGTGAGGTCTGGTTGTGCCAAGGTTTCTTTAATCTCCAGCCAAACTCTGTTTACTCACCCCCGTGTATATCCTCTGGCAAAAGCTGTAGCCACCAGGTAACACCAGCAGTGCCAGGAATGCACGAGCCCCCTAGTGACCCCGCTCTACTTTTCCTCTTTGGAGACTTGATCCTCCCCTGTCTCTCCCTAGCAAATGATTTATTAGGCTGTGAATGAATTTTGCAATCAACCAGTCAGACTTCTCAGCGTGAATCATTTCTAGACTGCTTGCCATTTTTTTTCATGACAGTGACTTTCACTTCTGAAACTTACAGAGCAGTGAACTATCTCTTTTCCCAGCTTATCTGAGCTCCCAGAAAAAAAAAAAAACGAAACAAAAGTTTTGGCCATGGCAAAAGGGACTTTCCAGGACACATGATGCATTAGTCTCACTGGATAGAGAAAGAGGCTCAGGAGTGAAACTCATTACCTTGGAGAGAAGCCAGGGAGCTGACTGAGTTTGGTGGCCAAGGCTATCGTTAGTAAGAGGGAGGTGGGGAGATGTGCCATGGTCACTACCTAAGACATCAAAATGCAAACTGGGGAGAAATGCTGTAGAGCCTGGGGTTTATAGCGTGGCAGACGGTTTCTCTTGCCCCCCTGGGGACACTGGTGTGGCTGAGAAGATTCCTGGGCTGGTCTAGGAATGCCAGACCTGAGACCTGGAAGGCCATCTGGCTGAGGCCCCAACCTGGAGCATCTGGTGATCTGAGCATCTGAGCCCTGCAGGCCAGAAAGCTGTGTGTGCCCTTGGGGGAAGTGACAGAGCCCTTAAGCTTCCTGCTGCAGTCAGTTAGTGTTTTATTACCAGTAGGTCAAGGAGATCTTCATTATGCCCAACGAGAATCTTTCCTGCTTCAGTGTCAGCTGTAATTACCCTTGCTGGGTTCTCCTTGAGCACGAGAACAGGATTGGTCTTTGCTGGCAGTTCTGACTTCAGATTTTGCCCCTATTGAGTGAAGCTTGCTTCACTTAAGGAGGAGCTGGGAGCTCTTTAAACCTGGAAGAGAGGTGGCCACAGGGGCCAGAGGCCTGTTCTGCTGTCCCCTGCTGCCTTTCTAATTCAGCCTCCTTATCACCAGCCCTGCGTCTAACTGTGGCTTCATTGTCATCCTGGTCTTGTGTGTAGGGATCCCTTTGCTCTATGGGAATCAGGAATGTTCGTTTTGGTGGAGACCGGGCTCCCCTCCTCTCAGCAGAATTCCTTCTTTTCGAAGATGTCCTGGGGCTGGAGGGCTCATCGCCTTACAGAGCTGTCCCAAGCTGGCCAGGTTTGGGTTTTGGTGGTTAGGAAACTCTTAGGTGGAATAGAAATTCACCTTCTTCCCCCTCACGGCTCATCACCATTGATTCTTGTGTTGGCCTTTGATTCAGGGCAATACACGTCGACTTCCTTTGCGATGACGCTATGACGTGGCGCTCCTGGAGTAAGGAAGGGACTTGGAGTCAAAATCAAGGCACTGAATTCTAGTCCTGGTTGTGCTACCTCTTGCTCTTGGCCTCAGTCACTCGTTGAAAATCCCTGGCCTTAGTGTTCTCATTTATAAAATGGGAGCAGACCAGATTTCACGTGAACTTCTTTCCCACTTTTTAATCCCTTGAGGACATGACCCAGGCATCTCCAGGTCTTCAGTGATCTGTGTGACAACAGAGGTTCCTTGGCATGAGCCCACAGAACTGTGACGTTCCATCATTCTGCATCTTCCTTTAGTTCTTTGTCCACAGTCGCTCCTTTCACTGTTTCTTGGGTACCACAGTTTCAGTTCAAAACACTCTTCTCATCTTTCCAGGACACTTGCTAGTTTGTCACCACTCAGTCCTCTAATAATAAATGTTTATTTATTTTTTAGAGAGATGGGGGATGGGCAGAGGGAGAGAGAGAGAGAGAGAGAGAGAGAGAATCCCAAGCAGGCTCTGATGTGGGGCTCGATCCCTGGAACCCTGAGATCATGACTCTGAACTGAAATCAAGAGTCAAACGCATAACTGACTGAGCCACCCAGGCGCCCTGAAACACAGTATTCTAAATGTTTTCTGAGCAGTTTAGAGCACAGATTACTAGTCCCTGAGACCTATACCTGTGGCTAAATGTTTTGTTCGTAAACAAAACAAAACAAAACAGCGTTGGTGGTATAGTGGTGAGCATAGCTGCCTTCCAAAACAAAACAAAACACAACAAGATCCTTTTTTACACAGCAGCCGCACCGTATTGTACTTCCACAGTAACCCAGTCACGGAAGAGCCCCTTCCGAGCCAGGAAAACCCTGGGCCGCACATGGGCGGGCCTTGGCGTTTTGAGCCGAAATTAAGAACTTAACATTAAGTCTCTCTCTTACACTGCATCGTAATAGCTGGTTCTCCATCCCCAACTCCACTGTGACATCCCTCCTCTCCTAGGTCCTGACATTCCCCAAACCCTCACCCCTACCTAGGCCCTAAGGTGGGAACAGCTGGCTTCCAAACAGCTCCTGTTTCCTGTTTCCAGGGGCCACTCCTCTCTGATATAAGGTTGTTCTTGCACTCAGCCTGGCAGCCTTTTTCCTTTGGTCCGAAGCCCTTTTTTCCTTTAACCAGTATCTTGCTGAGGACTTTGTACAGAAGAGGAGTGGTGGGTGCTGGTAGAAGGGTCGGAGGGGTTCAGAGAGATTAACCTTTTTTGGCAATTGAATATGGACTAAGATGGGGTATCTGGGGGGGGCTCAGTGGGTGAAGCAGCCAACTTCGGCTCAGGTCACGATCTCATAGTTCATGAGTTCAAGCCCCGCGTTGGGCCAACAGCCTGGAGCCTGCTTCAGATTCTCTGTGTGTGTGTCTCTCTCTGACCCTCCCCTGCTTGTGCTCTCTCTCTGAAAAATAAAAGCATGTTTAAAAATTTTTTTTAAAAAGAATATGGACTAAGAAGGAAAAGAGAAGGACAAAAACTTAGGAGGAATGACGGTTCTTTGTGAGACATTTTGTTAGCAGCAGTGGGAAGTTCTGCCCACAGGTCCGGGTGCCCCCCCCGGGGGGGCTCACCTCCTCTGCAATCCATCTTTTCCATTTGTCGCTGCGGTCCTCTACTCTGGTGGTTACTGGGCCCAAGTCAGCAGCTGACTAGGTGAAGGCCAGGGCTTTTCAGGGAAAGTATGAGAAAGTAGCAGAGTCACTTGGAGGATGATAGAGGAAGGGAAGGGAGAGGTGGGGAGAGCAGCTGGCCTAGAAAACATAGCACGGTGTGCTAGCGGAAGCTCTTCCTGCTTCTTGACTGGCTGGAGCGGGATTCTCCAAGGGGCAACCAGGTTGGATTCAGCAGGAAGCAACAATGGTTTCTTGTAGATCCCATGGTTTTGTGCCTCGTTTTCACGTTGATTCTAAATTGGGAAAGAATTCACTTTTATAGAACTCAGCTTTGCCTCAGTGAAGAAGTGTGAGACTATGAGGTGAGAGCGTGCAGTCAGGTCCCCACTCCTGTCCCCCCCCCCCCCCCCCCCCCCCCCCCCCCCCCCCCCCCCCCCCCCCCCCCCCCCCCCCCCCCCCCCCCCCCCCCCCCCCCCCCGCCCACGCTAGCTCGCTCTGGGAGCTCATTCCCTCCTCTGCCCTGGATTCAGAACTGTGGTCTGTCTTTCCTGCTTGGCTGCCTCTGATGCGGGGGCCTGGGGTCCATCCAGGGCTCCCGAGTGATGTTCTGTGCTTCTCCAAGTTGCCAGAGAAGAGTCTGCTGCCTGGTGCCTGCACAGGCACTTCTGTTTTCTAGAGCAGGGGTGGCAAAAGGCTTTGCTTTCTCCTTGTTCTTTCTTGTTAAAGATTACTGTTGCTAAGCGTTCTGGCTGCCTCGCGGCTCCTTTTCCCCCTTCGCTTGCATTTGAGGATGCCAGCTACCCACCTGTGTCCCTTCACATCACTTCTCCTTGCATTCTTTGGACAGGTAATTGTGTTTGCCAAGAATGCGATGAGGGGGAGAGCCTGACCACAAAAGCCTTGCCTGTGGTTTGTTTCATTATTCTGGAACAACTATCTTCCTATCTACGCCACTCCTACCTGCACCCCCCACCTCCCAGGGCTCCCAATGCCAGACCATAGGCACAGCACCTGTGTGGAGAGGCTGGTTTTGCTCTCTCACCTCTGGATTCCGCCTTCATCAGCTGGGCTGCGACTTGAATGGCCAGTCGCAGGCGACAGGAGGCAGGAACCTTGAGGAGAAGGGCTGTGGAAAATCTAGGCCAGTGTTTCAGGTGAAACAGGGCAGGAAACCACCATGAGGAGGGACTCTCAGAATCCGCCAGGGAGGGGGAAAAAAGAAGCGTGCCATGGACATTTTATAAAAAGGCTGTACGAATGTATGTTCCCAGCGTGTTTTATAAGAGCATCCCCGTCAGCTTTAAGTGTCCACACTTCAGAATATCTCTGCTAACTGGAGGTGACAAATGACATTTAGCAGTGGCTTTTCTTTGCATTTCTTGGATTATTAGTGAGCTTGGAAATGTTTTCCAAATGTTTATTCACTATTTGCATTTCTTTAGTGCATTGTCTTTTCATGGCTGTTAAAGAAATTGTGGTAAATATACATAACATGTAATTTACCATTTTACCCATTTTTAAGTGTACAGTTCTGTGCATTAAGAACATTCACACAGTTGTGTGACATCACCACATTCCACCTCCAGAACTTCCTCTTCTTCCCAGCTGAAACTTTGTACCCATTAAATGCTAACTCCCTGTTCCTTCCTCCTCTCAGTCCCTGGCAGCCGCACACCCCCCACCCTGTCTCCTTTCTGTTTGTATGAATTAGATTTTTAAGAACCTCATACAGCTGTCCCCCCTTATCTGCTGTTTCCTTTTCTATGGTTTCAGGCACCCATGGTTACCAGAGGTCTGCAAGTAGATGATCCTCTTTCTGACCTATGGTCAGAAGGTCAACAGTAGCCTAATGCTATGTGACAATGCCTTTGCCATTCACCCCATTTCATTTCATTATGTAGCCACTGTATTATATGTTACCTCAAGAAGGGTGAGTATGCTACAGTAAGAGATTTTGAGAGAGATCGTAGTCACATAACTTTTATTTCAGTATATTGTTATACTTGTTCTATTTTATTATTGACTATTTTTCTTTATCTCCTTACTGTGCCTAATTTATTAACTAACCTTTATCATCGGTATGTATGCATAGGAAAAAACATAGAATATGCATAGGGTTTGGTACTCTCTGCAGTCTTAGGCATCTCTTGGGGTTCTCAGAACGTGTGCCCTGTGGATAAGGGGAGGGCTTCTGGATAAGAGGTATCATACAGTATTTGTTCTTTTGTGCCAGGCTTGTTTCACTCAGCATAACATCTTCAAGGTTCATCCGTGTTATAGCTTGTGTCAAAATGTCCTTTTTTAACGCCAAATAATACTCCATTGTATGTATCTACTACAGTTTAAATGTTGTTTTTTGTTTTTTTTTTTTTAGAGAAACAGAGAGAGAGAGAGAGTGTGTGTGTGTGTGTGTGTGCTTCACCCACACACGAGTGGGGGAGAAGCAGATAGAAAGGGAGAGAGATGATATCGATCAAACTCTGCTATCAGCACAGAACCCACCTCTGGGCTTGAACTCATGAACTGTGAGATCATGACCTGAGTCAAAATCAAGAGTTGGACACTTAACCAACTAAGTCACCCAGGTGCCCCTATACTACATTCTAAAAAGTAAACTCCACGCCCAATGTGGGGCTCAAACTCATGACCCCTAAGATCAAGAGTTGCACACCCTAGTGACCCAGACATCAGGTGCTCCTATACCACATTTTGTGTATCCATTCACCTGTCAGTGGACATCTGGGTTGCTTCTACCTGTGGGGGCCATTTTTTTTCTCTCATGAATGCCTGAACAGTTTTTAGTTTTTATTTTTTATAATTTTAAGTAGCTTCTGTGCCCAAAGTGGGGCTCAAACTCACAACCCCGAGAAAGAGAGTCACATGCTCTACTGACTAAGCCAGCCAGGCACCCCTGAAGAGTTTTCTTATCACTTTGTATGAACCGTTCATGAATTAAGGATGGTAACTTATGGTAAGGACGTGTCCCCAGGAGGAAGTGGATGTTTTCTCATTGTTAATACATAATCACATAGCCTTCTAGGCGCCTGGGTGGTTCAGTCAGTTAAGCATCTGACTTTCACTCAGGTCATGACCTCATGGTTTGTGGGTTCCAGCCCTGCATTGGGCTCTGGGCTGACAGCTCAGAGCCTGGAGCCTGCTTTGGTCTCTTTGTCTCCCTCTGTCTCTCTACCCCTCTCCTGTTTGCACTGTCTCTCTTTCAAAAATAAATAAAACATTAAACAATGTTTTTTAAATTTATCATAAAAAATAATAATCACATAGCCTTCGAGACCACCAAGTGCCAATCCACAAGTTGCCTGCTTTTTAGTTTACATTTATTTATTTTGAAAGAGACAGAGAGTGTCAGTGGGGAAAGGCAGAGAGAGAGAGAGAGAGGGAGAGAGAGAGAGGGAGAGAGAGAGAGGGAGAGAGAGAGAGAATCCCAAGCAGGCTCCACACTGTCAGCACAGAGCCTGATGTAGGGCTCAAACTCATGAACCATGAGACCATGACCTGAGCCGAAGTCGGATGCTTTACGCACTGAGCCACCCAGGTGTCTGCCCCAAGCTGCCTGCTTTACACATTGGGTCATATATTCCTCACAACCAGCCCAGAAGGTTTGAAGTAGGTGATACTTTCCTATTTTATCAGGAAAGCAACAGGCTTAAAGAGGTCACGCAGCTTGGCCAGGAGGGTCCACAACTAGTTGGTGGCAAAGCGGGGACTCGGGCCTTGTGTCTGTCTCATGATTACCCGCCAAGGAGCCCACCTGGTTTAGACTCATGGCCTTTGGGGGCATCGCTGGCCTGAGGTGCTGGTTGGGAGCTGGCTCCCGGCCCGAACCCCAGCCAGCCAGCCCAGACGGCAGGGTGAGTTGTAGCCCGATGACATCATCCCCTCAGCTGTCTCGGCTTCTCTCCCCACCACAGCCTCGATCCCCAGCTGGGACTTGGGGAATGTGGCCTCCACTCCTGTACTCTCTCCGCCGGGGCTGAGGTAACCAGGCAGCTGTTTTTAAAAGCCCTTGGGCACCACTGGGCTGCTATTCTGAGAACCAGCTGCCACCTGATCACCGCCCCCCCCACCATCTGGCTCTTGTGGGCTCTGCTGGGCCTGGGGGAGCTGAAATAATTTGGTGGTTGGCCCCTATAGCCACCTCTGAACCAAGTCACTCTGGCTATGGCAGGGCTTCGGCCAAGGGACACCCCTCCAAGGATCCCTTAGGTGTCTGGTGATTCTTTGGGACATTTCCCCACACTTACCATCTTTTCTATTAAAATATGTACAAGTAGCACTTTTCTATACAGAAAGATGCTTGTGCCTAATGCTGTAAAACTTCCCTCCTTCCTCTGTCTCTGTGCCCCTCCCCCCTCCCTCACCTTGTACCTGGCCTAGAACTTGGAACACAGCAGGTGCTAAAGAAATGTTTGTTTACATCTCCCCTTCTCTCCTCACTTCTCTGTGAACTCTCTGGCACATTCTTACCACAGAATTCCAGGTATGGGTTGATCAGTAGGTGTTACTGCAAAAAATGAGGACAAGCTTGACACTTCTAGTGTATGTAAGGGCAGAAATACAAGGACACGTTCCATATTTTGACTCCGTGTGTGTGTGTTGTGTGTGTGTGTGTGTGTGTGTACCTGTGCATGTAGGAGGGTCTTGTAAGCAAATGGTCAAATTGGAACACTTTGCTCTGAAAATTACTCCCCGATAAGGGAATGTGGTTTGAGTTGATACGGTGTAAACAAAATGCAGTTCACAGAACAGCTGTGCGTGCATGCGCTTGCCCCTCCCACATTCACACGCGCGGGCACACACACACTCAGCACCTTGGCTGTGAAGTAGGGCGGGTGACTAGTTTCCTTTCTGCTGAAGGGGCAGTTGCTGGCAAGTAGGAAGTTAGTTGCCAAGCCAGGAGAGAAGAGAGGGAGGCACTGAGAGGAAAAGAATGCAAGTAACGTTTTAAGTCAATGCAGCCGAGTGTTGATGGTGGAGAAGTCTGGAAGAGCCCCCACCCCGACCCGCCACAGACCCAGGGGTGGCATCACTGTGGGGCCTGAGCCTGGAGCTCTGTGCAGGGGAGAGAGCCGGAAAGAGTGAGGGAACATCCTTCAGCGGCGTCTGGCTCTGGTGCCCAGCCAGGCTGCCTGGCGCTGTCCCCAAGTCTCTCCACCAGCGGCTTCACCTTCCATCAGCTAAGCACTAAATCCCCAGGGCCTCCCTTTCCGTTTCCTCTAGGATGAACTAATCCGCCCTGGGGCCCCTTCTGCTCCTCCCTAAGTGGCTTAAGCCTGCAGGAGCCTCTTCTTTCCATCCTGGCAGTGACACTGCTCACAGGAGCCTGAGTGTCTCTGTCACCAAGAGTCCCCCCACCCCACCCCCCAAGCCAAGCTTAAGAGACTAAGAAACAAGGAGAATAAAGCACCCACCTTCCCTTGCTTCCCAGGAGTGGCTGGATTGGAAGCCCCTGCTCTTTCTTGCTCTTGGCCTCATTGGCAGGGCTGCTTGGAGCTGCCTGGTGTCTCAGAACTGGTGTTTTAGCTCTAACTTCCTGAAAAGAGGCACTTACCTCCCCCTTTCCTGTCCTTTCTTGCTGTTGCTCCCTGCTCCTCCCAACAGAGGTTAGAATTTTGTGCACTCAGTTATAGATCCTGGTGAGTGTTGACCAAGAGGCAGACTAGGAAAGGAAGATTGGCAGCTGTGGGGGGTGAAAGGGTAAGATGGCTTAAGGGTCACAGGGCTGCACTTAGCTGGGAAGAGTTGGGGCACGAGGGGAATCTTTACTAATCCACTTGGGCCAGACTCAGGAAAGCGCCTCAGTAGGCGTGGTGTTGAGGAGAAATGGCGCATGGAGCGCCATGTTGCATTCCTTCAGGGAACCATTCATCTTGTGTTCAGTGGTCCCCTGGAGCATAACGGGTCATACCAGCCACGCAGCAAAACATGTAGTCCCTGCAGTAAAACTATGAGGGTTAATGGGGCACTTCTGTGAACGTCCTGGGCCAGGCTCAGTGGGGGACACTGTAGGACATAGTCCTTGGCTTCAAGGAGACACTGAGGCACCCGTGGGAAAGCAGGCTGTGTTCACATTCACAACACATAGGCCTCTAGAGAGCCACAATGACCCAGAGCAGGTGTGTATGGAGGGAACATAGAAGGAGAACTTTGGCCAAGGACCAGCTGGTCTGGGGGGCCTTGTGCAGGTGGCCATCTGCTCTCTGATGCTTTCAGCCCTGTGCCCGCCCTCAGAAATTGGGCCCCAGGGCATCTCCTTGATAAAGAGTTCTCTCTCTACTTCTTTGCAGCCTTCAGTGCCCCAGGTTCCAAACTACAGGCTGTCGATGACGATCCCAGACTGGCTCCAAGCAATCCAGAACTACATGAAGACACTACAGTATCCTTCCGACCAGGGACTGGGCAGACCTGGCCTGGGGACGGGCATGGTGAGCTCCTCTCTGACAGCAGGTCTGTCCCCAGCTGGTCAGCAAATGCTCTCTAAGGTTGGTGAGGCTGGGCACGAAGGGATGCCCAGTGTGAGTGTCTAGAAGGCACCATAATAGAGGATGTAATTGCAATGGCCAGACCCTTCCCCATTAGGCAGGCGCTGGCCAGGACAGCAAGGCACAATGAGGCGGCTGTGGCCAGCTGGAGCCCCTCTTCTTTCCCTCCTCTCCTGTCTCTCCACCTCCCCTCCTCAGTCCCCTTTGTTTCCCTCCTCCTCTCTTCCTCTGTCTGTCTTCCTCCCCCTTCCCTCCTGAGCTTCTTTCTGCTCTTTTGCTTTCCTTTCTCACTTTTTTGTCTTCATCTTGACCACTCATAATCTGGAAGAGGCCCACTTGGCATTGCCTTTGACAGACTGGTGGCCTTGCTCCCTTCTCCAAGAGTACGTGGCGCCCTGGGATGGGGGTGAGTTTGAAGAAGCGCCGAGGAACCCTGTGGGTCCAGGCTGGGTTCAGACTAGCCAGACTTGGGTGCTTCTCTCCGCCACTGTCCTCTGGCTGTTTGTAACCAAGATTAGATCTGTCCTGTGTGCTATACGAACAACATCGTAAGAACAAGGGTCCACTGGCTCCTGCTGGTGTTTTTTCAGGGAGAGGAATAGATAGGAGCTGGGCTGACAGAGTTGTCTGTGGGAGGGACACACCATTTGTTCGAGTCAGTGAGCATCTCAGAGCCAAGCCGGCATCAGACCCCTTAGCCCCCAGCACATTGTCTAGGAGGTCAGTTCTCTGCTGACCTCAGTCCTTCCTTCAGCAGAACAGATTTCACAGGGACATTGCACACATGTTCCAGTGGTTAGAATGGCTCCCCACTTCGTTTTTTTTCTTTTAATGTTTATTTATTTTTGAGAGAGAGGCAGAGAGAAAGGGGGACAGAGGATCCAAAGTGGGCTCTGCTGACAGCAGAGAGCCTGCCTGATGAAGGACTCAAACTCATGAACCATGAGATCATCCCCTGATCCGATGCCTAAATGACTGAGCCATGCAGGGGTCCCTGGCTTCCCACTTCTATCGAGGACACAGTCTTCACCAGGATCATCCAGCCAGAGATGAGAGAGAAAGAGCCTGGCTGGGGAATGCATGCCCTGATAGGGGCAGATTTGCATGTGCTTTATGTATCGTATGCCCTGCAGCACATTCGCAGCTAAGTTTTCATTGTTGCCTTGAAGGATCTGCTTTTTCATTCTCTTCTCTGACCCATGATGCTGTTTACTGACCTGATCACTGACTACCGAGAGGGCCGGAAGAGGGACAGCATCACAAGCTTCTACGATCCTGTGCTCCAGGTCACCTGGCCAATGGAGCCACCACACAAAGAAGGCAGGGTGTGACCTCTTTGTTTTCTCTTCTGACCACACTTTTACAGGCATATCTTGAAGACCCTGCAGTTTCGGCTCCAAACCACTGCAATGGAGCGAATATGGCAATAAAGAGAATCACATGAATTTTTTTGATTTCCCAATGCATATAAAACTTATGTTTACACTACCCTATAGTCAGTATATTAAGTGTGCAGTAACACATTTAAAATAACAATCTACATGCCTTAATTAAAAAGTTTTTAGGGGCTCCTGGGTGGCTCAGTTGGTTAAGTGTCTGATTCTTGATTTCGGCTCAGGTCATGATCTTACGGTTCGTGGGTTTGAGCCCCACATCGGGCTGTGTGCTGTGCTGATAGTGCAGAACCTGCTTATAATTCTCTCTCTCTCTCTCTCTCTCTCTTTCTGTTCCTTCCCTGCTTGTGCTCTCTCTTTCTCTCTCTCGGGATAAATAAACTTCAAAGAAATAAAATAAAAAGTCTTTATTGTCAAGAAATACTACCCATCATCTGAGCTTTCAGTGAGGCATAATTACTGATTACAGGTCACCATAATAAAATATAATAATAATGAAAAAGTTTGAAATGCTTTGAAAATTACCAAAGTGTGACCCAGTGACACAAAATGAGCAAATGCTGTTGGAAAATGGTGCCAACAGGCTTGCTTGACACAAGGTTGACACAAACTCTCAGTCTGTAAAAAAACAGAAACAAAAAAACCCCATAGTGTCTATGAAGGGCAGGAATGCAAAGGGCAATACAATGCTTGTATTTAGTTCCTCAGGACTTCTGTTTGTCCTGGACACAGGAACACATGATTGGGCACCAGGCCAGCCCTGACTATAGACGGGCTTGTTTGGGGATAAGAGAGGACAAATTCTGACAGCTTCAGAGTGCTGGCCATCAGTGGATCTTGCACAGGGTTCTGGAAAGACAGGTGCCCCCTGAGCTTTCTGCATGGGGAGAGACCCTCTGAGGATCAGCTCAGGCTCAGTAAGTCTCTCCCTCTGAAGGTGATGTTTACAAGAGGCACTCTTCTCCAGCTCACTTTCCGAAGCTCATAACTGTAAGGAACTGAGCAAGGAAGGCCAGGTGATTTGTTAGTATTTTATTATAGGTTTGTCTCACTTTACACACTAGATCTATGAAAAGGAAGAAAGTTAGGTATATACATAGAATTTTGCTCACTGAATTCTACTTTAAATGTACCAGGAATCTCACTGGTTTTTTAAAAATATTAATGTTTATTTTTGAGAGAGAGCACACGCAGGCTTATGCAAGCTTGGGGAGGGGCAGAGAGACAGAGAGACAGAGGATCTGAAGCAGGCTCTGCACTAACAGCAGAGAGCCCAATGCAGGGCTCAAACTCACGAACCCGTGAGATCACGACCTGAGCTGAAGTTGGGAGCTTAACCGACTGAGCCACCCAGGTGCAATGGAGTCTCACTGCTTGAATGAAATCTTTGGTAATGTAAAACAAACAAAAACAAAAACAAAAAACACTTCACAATGAGGACACGTAGCCCCTCGTTTTTCTCTTTTACCTCTAAGGTTTTTTTCATATTGTATTTTTCAAAATCTGGGCAAGCCTGTACTGTTATTGGTTGTTCTTAGGGCTCATGCTGATCATTTCCAGCTTGGTGAGCCTGTTGAAGTCATCATCTGATTCTTACCCGGGAGCCTCCAACAGAACAGTCCCAGGCAGTGTCACTTGGAATGACATCTAGGGTTAAGACTATAGCCTGGGGGCACCTGGGTGGCTCAGTCAGTTAATCAGGTTCATGAGTTCGAGCCCTGTGTTGGGCTCTGTACTGACAGCTCAGAGCCTGGAGCCTGCTTCAGATTCTGTCTCACTCTCTCTCTCTGCCCCTCCCCTGGTCTCACTCGGTCTCTCTCTCTCTCTCTCTCAAAAATAAACATTAAAAAATAAATAAATAAAACCATTAGCCTAAAATTGGAGTCTCAAGGAGTGGAGCCCAGAATCTGCCTGTAAAGAGCTCTTCCTCCCCCTCTCCCTGCCTCCCCCTCCCTCTGCCTCCCCCTCTCCCTCCCCCTAACTCCCCCTCCCTCCACCCCTAGTACTTGTTCAGTATGCTTGTGTCTGAGTGGCCAGGCATGCCTGTGCCAGGAGGGGAATCCTCACCCTCCTCAGGGAGGGTGTACAGGGCATTTAGGTGCTTGGCACCACCTCTGCCACTGCTTGTACCACTGTAGGGTCACACATCTAATCTCATACATGCTGTCAGGGTTACAAGTTCATGGTTCATTAGCATCTTCCCAACATGCACTTTTTCTATAGGACTTTGTTTGAGACAGGAAAGAGAAATATGTAAAGCAACTTTTCTTTAGGCTGTGAGAAAAGTCAAGATCCAGTCTCAGCATGACATCAAGGAATCTTTGGTCTCCTTCAGAATGACCTGGTACAGGCTTGCCAGTCCTTGACACTTTCTGGGCAAGCTGCTAAACCTCAAGTTGTGGGTAATAGTGTCATCTTCTTAGACTTCATAATCATTGTCTAGTATCAGTCCAGTGAAACTAAAGTGAGGTCTTCAAAATAAGCTTTGCTGCAGAGGCTGTGCACTATTGAGAAGCCCTACCATCCACCCACCCTTCTATCCATCATCCATCCATCCACTCCTTCCATCCATCCATCCATCCATCCATCCATCCATCCACCCACCTTTCCATTCCATCAGTTCCACCCTTCCTTCCTTCCATTCATCCATCCACCCTTCCACCAATCCACCTATTTATCCGTCTGTCCACTCATCTATTAATTTATTCCTCATGCATTTAACAATATTTGCTCACTGGAATATGTTGGGCTTGTGCCAGGCTTTATGGGTGATATAAAGATAACAAATAAATAGTCTCAACTCTCAAGAGTTTATAGTCCAGTAGGTAAATTAAGACATGTATTTGACCAAACAGAATACAGAGCAGATTGAAAATAGCTATTATAAAGATCCAAGGTGTTTTGGGGCTTGAGTTAGAAATTGGATTTTCAGGGCAGGACAGTGAAGAGTAAGAGGCTCTTGGCTACCTTCTGGCTACTGAACACTTTCTGGAAGGCCCCTCACTTCTTCATCCTTTTGAGAAATCAATGTACAGCTTCCTCTGCTGGATTACTGGGGCCTTTGGAGTTTTCTGTCACTTTCCCTTTACATACTTCACACAGATACAATCATACAGGGACCCAGTTCTTTGAAATTAGGAAAATGAGACCGCTGAGTGGGTAAGTGGTGCATGATCTGTGGGCCAGGTGACCTCTCTTTTACCTGAAAGCTGCCCACTCCCTCTCCCACTCTTTATCCCTGTCTCCCAGTGCTCACGTATCCTGGTCTGTAAGGCGGTGGGGTTGGGGTTGGAGGTGGAGCTAGGGCTTGGGCCACTCTAACAGCTAAGCTCCACGGTGGAGACTAACTCTTCCAGGGGTGGGAGAGGCGCGTAAAATCAGTTTTATGTGGCCTCCTTTACTTTCTCTCTGTAACGGCCCTTGTCCTGGGGTGCTGGGAGTATGCTGTGGAATATAGGCACTAACCTCCAGGAACTAACTCTTGGAGAGAGCAGTGGAGAATTTAAGAATTTAGTTCTGCTAGTATAGATGCACTTTGGCTCCGTCCTCCACGGCGAGCTCTCCCCTTTCCCTCTACAATCCTGCATGGCACCTAATGTGGAGACAGGCACGCTGATGGATTGACACAGACTGATTGCATGATGAAATGAGTCCTGAGATGCTTTGCTGTGCTCTTTCCTACAGGTTAATGGAAACAGCGAAAGAAATGACTCGGGAGTCCTTGCCTATCAAATGCCTTGAAGCTGTCATCCTGGGCATGTATCCTTTGAGTTATGTTTGCTTAAGTTTACCCCACAGATGGCGGCCTCCAAGTGAGGCCGATTGTGTCTTCATTGTCCTAGATTCACAGAGATGACACCCATTGTCTCCTCAGAGGAAATTGGCAAGCTCCCCTGGTGTGTCTCTTTAACTTTCACCTTCTGGAGTTGAACCAAATCAGAGCTTCATCGGACCATTGTCTATGTAACCTGTGGCCCAAGCCACACCTGCTAGGCACAACGAGAATTCCAATCTAGAGGGACTAGAGAGAGAGTGTGTATCATTATCTTTTGCATTCATCTGGGTTTATAACAGGATAGACACTCAAGGGAATTGAGATTATCCCAATGCATCTCTGGGGAAGATTCTAGACTGTGGAGGAGACCAAGCAATAGTGTAGAGTCCTGTCTCCACAGAACGTAGAGTTGACCACAAGGGTCTGGTCTCTCTCATACGTTCTGTTCCATTTTCCCCAGACTCCTGGCCCCTCAGCCTAAGGGGAATATGGTCCAGAAAAACTGTGATGGCCCTGACTTACTTAGTGATGATGACGATAGAACATGATCTGGTACAAGAGCAAAGAAACTTGTGGTCCTTTGGGGTGGACGGCTGGAAGGGGCAGTGACAAAGGAAATGCAGCAAGATGTAAACATGTAGATGGTCCCAGGTAAGACTGGTTAAGTCCTTGAGGGTTGTGCTGAGAAGCGGGAACTTTCTCCAAAAGGGAGTGGGCGGCCCCCAGGAAAGATCTGGAGCAGAAGCATGACCCAATCAGGTGTGCACTTTAGAGAGGTAGTTCTTAGGGCAGATTGAAGGGCAGATGGAATTGTTCCATGAGGGCAATGGCGGTGCTTGAACCACGGTCCTGGCCATGGTGGCGGGTGTGAGGGGACATCAAGGAGACAGAATGTAAAGGACTTAGAGGTCAACTGAATGCACAAGTTGATGAGGAAGGAATCAATCAATACAGGTTTCTGGATTCCGGATTAGGTGACAGTCTGTGGAGGATGGGCTGGAGGGATGAGGGTGACCGAGGGGTGAGATACTTCTACCCAGTAGCCGTAAAGGCAGAGGAAGGAGTTGGGGGGTCATCAGCACCACTTGTGAGCTGATTAGCTGTAAGAGTTAGAGGAGACCAAGGCAATGAGCCCACGTTGCCGGCTTGAAAATTGGGTGATCGGATAAGTGTGCTGCAGCCCCAGGGAAGAACGTAATGGGGAGAGGCAGATTTAGGGGCAGATGAGCTCAGATTTGAATATGTTCCATTTGCGACACCTGTAGGTTGTTGAGGGAGGGGGCATTTAGGACATGGCGCTCAGGAGAAGCTCTGCACTGGAAATAGAAATGTGGGAGCTGGCAGTGTTGAGGGGGTGGTAGCTGCCGTTCAAGGGGTAAGAAGGGAAAAAGATCAAGGATGGATTCTCACTACTTTTTGGTTTGGTTGGACGTGGTGAGCCTGTGAGAGAAGTTGGAGAGTTAGAAGAAAAATGAGGAGAGAATGAAGATTCCGAAGTCCGTGGAAGGACAGGTGGCTCAGAATCGGACTCGGGACAGTAGGACGGGCAGTCTGTTGGTTTGGTCTCCTGGACGTGTTCTAAAATCTTTTTTAATGTTTATTTTTGAGAGAGAGCGAGCGAGTGAGCCCAAGCTGGAGAGGGTCAAAGAGAGAGAAGGAGACAGAGGATCTCAAGCAGGTTCTGTGCTGAGAGCAGAGAACCTGGTGTGGGGCTTGAACCCACGACCCTGGAGATCATGACTTGAGCCGAAGTCGGACGCTTACCCTACTGAGCCACCCAGGTGCCCTGGTCCGCTGGTTGTTCACCAAAGGGGAGTTTCTGGCCGTCGGCAGCCTGCGAACCCTGGCCAGGCGGCGTCTGAAACATGATTGTGCACAGGTGCCCAGGCTGCCATTTGACAAATGGAAACTTGAGCCATATCGAGGCCCTGTCCACTCTCCTGTCTTACCCCCTCCCTGCTCCTCACAAAGGAGATGAAACGGGTGCCTGGGGAGCCCAGCAGGAGGTCAGAACGGGGTGGGGACAGCAGATGGCTGAGGCCCTTTTGTGGCAGGAGTCAGCCACAGCTGTTGGGCAGAGCCCCCTGCAAGTTTAATGGGATGAACAGTTGTTGGGGATTTGTGGGGGGGTGGGGGGACCAGTGAGGGAGAGCATGAGCCTTTCCCTGGGAGGACCAGGGATGCACCTGGACAGAGGTCATCTTGCCATACACAGTAGCCCTGTCCCTGTGCAATTGTATAAACTCAAACACGACTTCGGCTTGCTGGGATTACTTAAATTCTTTCGGGATTGTGAGGGACACACCTGTGCCCGGCCTCTGGGCCAGCCCGAATCAGAGGACAGTGGCTCTTGGTTTTCCCTCCTTCTTACTGGTGTGACATTTCAGAAAAGTGCAGAGAAGGTGGAAAGGGTGCAGAAATGTGGCTCACGCTGCTGAACTCAGGGAAATTTGACTCTTGGACACAGATGAGAACCACAGACCTGAATTCTAAAAGTTGCAGCGTCTTTGTCTTTTCCCTTTGCCCTTTGTCAGCATCCCCGTGGCCTACTTTTCTCCCGAGTGCAGTGAAGGACGTGGCTCGGGTCAGATGTCCGCGTCCCCCCACAGGTCCCTATGCAGGTCCTGGGAAGCAAATGGCACCTCAGCAACTTTGAAACAGGTCAGCTCGGCTGCTGCTTGGCCCTGTGTCCCCTGTCCTGTCCTGCCTTGTTTCCTCTTGTCTGACGTTAGCCAGAGTTCCAGTTTCATTCATGAAGAGCCACTTCTTTCCATCTTGCCTCTGCGTGCGGACACTCTCACATGCCCGCCGGAGAGAGAGACTTTTGGTTCCAAGTTATCTTCCAAATCCTGGCAGCAATTTCAGGGGCCTCGCTGACCCCGAAGAGGCTTAATCACGGTACCAAAGTGCTGTGGCTGATTCACGTGGCACATGTGTTCCTAGAGGCAGGTTAGCACATCCCCAGCCGGCTGGATGCCGGGTGGGTCTTCCAGGAGCTGGGGCCCTGTCACCTCCCTCTTCCCTAGAAAAGCCCAGGCCACTTCCCTGCCCTCATCCACACTTCCCTGTCCCCTCCCTCTCTGAGCCCGGTTACTCCAGGCCCCAGGGCTTTTCTGATTGCCATCCAGATGGAACAGATCCTAGAGACCGGTCTCTCCTGTGCTCTCCTCACTCCCTCTTCTCCACGTGGCTGACTCTACTTGTCCCACAAGACTAACTCGGTGTGGTCCCCACATGGCCTCTGCTCTCCCTGCGGGTGCTGGGCTTGCCTCTCTGACAGCACACATCACACTGAGGTGGTGCCTTTCCGTTTTATCGAGATCCCATGGATGTACGGCACTGTGTAAGTTTAAGGGGAACAGCGTAATGGCTTGACATACATGCATTGTGAATATGGGGGTTTTTAATTGTAGTAAAATAGTCATAACACAAATCTACTGTCTTAAGTGTTTCTAAGTGTACAGTTCAGTGGCATTGAGAACATTCACGCTTTAGTTCAACCGTCAGCACCCTCCATCTCCAGAACCTCATCTTCTCCAACTGAAATGCCCATTGAGCACTAACTCTCCATTTTCTCCCCTCGCCCCTGCCCCAGCAGCCACCATTCTACTTCTGTCTCTGTGAATTTGATTACTCCAGATACCGCATGAGGTTCAGTTGTACAGTGTTTGTCCTTTTGTGGCTGGCTTATGTCATGTAACATAATGTCCTCAAGGTTCATCCACATAGCATGTGCCAGAATTTCCTAACCTTTTTAAAAGTTTACTTATTTATCTATTTAGAGAGAAAAGGAGAGAGTGCAGGAGAGGGGCAGAGAGAGAAGGAGAGAGAATCTCAAGCAGACTCTGCGCTGTCAGCACAGAGACTGATGCGAGGCTCAAACTCATGAACTTTGAGATCACAGCCTGGGCCTAAATCAAGAGTTGGATGCTTAACCAATGGAGCCACCCAGGCGCCCTAGAATTTCCCAACTTTTTATGGCTGAATATTCCATCGTATGTATACACCACATTTCCTTTATCCATCCATCCGCAGGCACTCGAAGTGCTTCCTCCTTGGGGCTATTGTAAACAATGCTGCTAATGAACATGGGTCTGCAACCGTCTATTCGAGTGTCTGTTTTTAGTGCTTTGGGGTACATACCCCGAAGTGGAATTGCTGGATCACATAGCAGTTTCTTTTTTTTTTTTTTTTTTTTTTTGAGGAACTGCTGTACTGATTGCATTGTGTCCGCTTTGAGCCTGTCTCCCCACAGACTACCAGAGGAGGGTTGGATTCTTCTTTGGCTCCACAGCCCCACCTGTGGGCTGTCTGCACAGGAGCTGTGCACACAACAACTAAGGAATGCCCTTATTCCGGCCCCAGAGAGCTCACCACAGAAAACAAGCAAGGATTGATGTAAGAGGGCTCAGAAGGATATGATTTCTCTCCCTTCCTGCCGCTTAATGTCACATGAGGAAGTGAAAACAGGTAACCATTTTTACAGAGAGGAGCCTCCTGTGCCTATACTGAGGCAGAGGATGAGGCTGATCTCTGAGCTGTGGGCTGGCTTCTATTAGCTCCCATCTTTCTGGGAACCTGGATTGGCCCCCACTGACCAGTCTTTTTAAGTGTAAGGAATGTACACTCACGATGGAGGTTTATCCATTCAACCAGCATCAACCAAACCCTTCTGTGTGCCAGGCCTGAGCTCTGCCCCGGAGAACACCAGCAGGCAAAACACAACTCCTTACGAGATGCAAATAAATAACAATTACAATACTGGGTGATGAAGCACTAAGTACTCCAGGGGTTTTTGAGTAAGGGGTGGTGGTGGTACTTAACCCACATGGAGGAAAGGCAGGGAAGGGAGAGGAAGGGGGAGGGGCTGGCAGTGAGGCTGTTCCAGATGGGGTGCAGCCTGTGTAAAGAGAGTAGGGCCCACAGCATCCTTATCACTCATGATTGCTAGGAGTTCCCAGAGATCTGTGCCAGGTTTGAATCCCCTGCCCTTGAAGGCTGCTATGCAGCGAAGCCATAAGACAAGTTATACTACTGAAGGGACGTCATGTAGTGCAAAGTGCGTTTAGTGACATTTCGTTGAAAGTTTCATAGGTCGCTTTGGTCTCCCAGCTTTGTAATGTAAAGATCGTTTAAAAGTCATTTAAGAGTTTCAGTTACATTTGACTTCACATTATGAGGGATTATATGTGCTGAAGCTGCAGGTGTTGGTTCTTTACGGCCCTGGCGTATCCTTCAAAAATGTCACGGGTCGACCGTGGGTCTGTGTGCTAGTCCAGGGCATGGGGGAAAGGAAATCGCACCAAGGAGTAATGAGTAGGGGCTGACTCATGGCAGGACTTTGGTAAGGGATTTGGACCAGGTCTGGGGAAGATGAGAGACACTGAAAACTTAAGCAGAAGAGTTGACATGTACCAAATTTTGGCTTGAATAGACCACTCTGGCCTTTGTGTGGAAAGCATGTTGGAGTGGGGGAAAGAAACGGTGAAGACAGATTCTTAGGGAGTGGAGGACCGTCTCTACTAACTGAGCACTTATCATGCCCTGGCCACCATGGTCAGCACCTGGATGATTATTTACCTTAGAAACGCTCTGGAATCACCAAATGTTTTCAGCAGAAAAGGGACACCCATGAGTTTTCCACATCACTCTCCAGAAAACCAGGTCCTGGCCAGGGCTATCGTGGAACTTTGAGATGGGCTCAAGGGTGTGGTACTTCTTGCCCCTTGCTCTAGCGTGTGGAGTCACTGGGGATAGTTACTTGGCGCTGCGCTCTGTGGGGTTACTGGTCCCAAACTGAGGTAACGCTAAGAGGCTGAGTTAGTCAATTCAAATGGGCTGATATGTGGAGAAAGCCAAGCTGTGATGCCAAGTGCATTGGGGATGAGGGGGCCCGCAGTTTGGGTGCTGGGGGCAGCTTTCTGTGTGGTACCCAAGGCTGTTGGCATGGGTATGCCGGGGCCCATGAGAGGAGCAGATGAGGTGCAGGTATGACCTGTTCTGATGCCTTCCCATCCAGATAATCAACCTGTTTGGTTTTTTTTCCTTTTTTTATGTCCGCATTGCCTTGCCTTGATTCTGGTTGTCATTTCTCCTCTGAAGCATTGCAAAGGTCTTCAGGTCCTGGTCTGTCCCACACACTCCAGCCAGAATTCATGTCCGAGAACATCATTCTGATTCCATTAAAAAAGCCTTTAATCTCATCATGCCCTGTAGAAAACTGAGGGAAAGGGAAAGATCATTGTTTTGTTTTGCATTTATTTAATTGCTAAAGTAGAAGACAAGTTTTTCTTTTTGTCTCATATTAACTTGGCTCTGGTATGCAATATATAAAAATGTCTCCACTCAAAGATATCAAGTGAACCCTTTCTAAAAGGATTAGTCCAGAAAGGTTAGGTATGGGCCTGCTCAGAGGCAGAGGGATAGACACTTTGCCCATATGGGCCACTTCCATTCCTGGGAGTCCAAACTCCATGAATTTTCAAGGCCTCCTTTCTCTTCCTTGACTCAGATGGTCTAAGATACTTAACCAATGGACAGCCTTCCATCGAGCGATTCCCCATCAGCTTTAAAACCTACTTCTCAGGAAACTACTTCCACCATGTTGTGCTGGGGATTTATTGCAATGGTCGCTATGGCTCCCTGGGCATGAGCCGAAGGGCTGAGCTGATGGACAAGCCATTGACCTTTCGGACTTTGAGTGACCTCATCTTTGACTTTGAAGACTCCTACAAGAAGTACCTTCACACAGTCAAGAAGGTCAAGATTGGGCTGTATGTCCCCCATGAGCCTCATAGCTTTCAGCCCATTGAGTGGAAGCAGCTGGTCCTCAATGTCTCAAAGATGTTGAGGGCTGACATAAGGAAGGAGCTGGAGAAATATGCCAGGGACATGAGAATGAAGGTAAGTGCTGGGAAGCCAAATGAGCAGTGCCGGAGAGTTCTATCCCCATCCTGTGTCTCTCTCCCTCTTGCCTCATGCCCTGTGTTTCTGGGGTGGTCAAAAGCTTCTTGAGGTTATCTGGCTTAGTAGCCAGCCTATTAAAACAAAAATCAGAAATCATTCGCTATTTGACATGGACGATTAAAGTTTCTCTTTGCATACACTACTTCAAACACTGGAGGTCAATTTAGATGTTATAGTTAAAGCAGTGTCTTGGCTTACAATTGCTTCTATGCAATCAAATCTAAAATGTTAGCCATTTTAGACAAAGGTTATCATTTTGTTGTGTTTTGTCTTTATTATAATAGGGTGACCAATCACCTGTTGTCTGAATCTGAGGAGTTTCCCAGGATATGGAATTTTTAGTACTTAAAACCAGCAGGTCCCATGCTCAGCAGGATGAGTGGGTCACCTAGTTTATGCAGAGTCACATTATATCTCTGCTTTGCTGTGTAAGTCGCAACCCATTTTGGCATAAAATCCTGACCTGGTGTCACAAGAGCAAAGAAGCATTCACTGTGCTGACTTGGTATAAACTATACTCAAAACCCCTTCTTCCTTCTATCGTGTTACTTCCATGGTGACATGATGCCTGCTTGTCCTTGTCCCTCCAGGGCTTGTGGAGTCACCAAGAGAAAGCCTGTGCATACACAGAGGACCCCAGGGGAAAGGGATTATGCTGACCTCAGGCTTAGTTCTGTTTAGCTCTTGGGGACCTGTCATCTTCACTCTGAGGGACGTGGAAACGGAGATTCTTGATAAATTGAAACTACTCTGTGCATGCATGTGGGGTGGGAGAGTCAGGGGAAGAACAAGTTGGTTTCTGGGGCAATGTGGATGGGACTCTGCTTTCACAAGACGGCACCCAGCACCCAGATGAAGCCCCAGGGGGCTGAGGCATTGGGCTCTGCTCCTCTTCTGTGGACAAGGGAGCACGGCGTAATCATTTCAGCCCCCGGGAAGTGGTACCCTTGCTCCTCGCCGGTGAGGAGTGAGAGAAGAGCATCTGTCAGACCTCCTCCTCGGAAGCCGTTCAGCCTCAGTGCCTTCTGAGCCAGGGGATCCTGGTGGGCTGAGGGGTGGGAAGCCGCAGGAGGACAGGAAGGCGGGGTCCTGCAGGAGCCAGCACGGTAACTCCTTACCTCTCCTTCAGATCCTGAAACCTGCAAGTGCCCATTCTCCAACCCAAGTGAGAAGTCGGGGGAAATCTCTGTCCCCCAGGAGAAGACAGGCAAGCCCCCCACGACGGCTCGGCAGGAGAGACAAGTCGTGAGTAGTATTTCCTCTCTCCCAGCTCAAGGACCAACACACACATCCAGGGGGTTGTCCTGACCCATGGGGACAAAGCTGTGTCATGGGCTTGGCATCTGAAGCTGACCGAGATCTCCAGGAGGACCACCCCTCATTCAGGGGGCATCCCCAGTGGGGAGGGATCCACCCTGCCCATCACTCCCATTGCGCTGATGGCACCACCTGTCCGCTGTAGACTCAGATGGAGAGCCAAGCCCCAGGCTGCCAGAGATGAAGGCCAGCCTGAAATCTTGGCAGCATGGGGGGAGTACTGGATTTAGAATTAGGAAGCCTGGGTCTGGGGCCAGCTCAGCTCCTTCTGAGCTAGGTGATGTTAGGCATGTTGTGTAGCCTTCCTGGGCTTACATTCTCTCAGCCAGAAGATGGGGTTGTTAAAATCAATCAAACTTTCCTAACACCCCATAGCCCTCTGTGCCCAGCAGAGAGCGTGATCATTCTTTGGATCACAGCATCAGAAATACCCACAGGCTCATTCTCCTCTCTGCTGACTCTAGCTCCCCTGTTTTAGCCCCGAGGCTAGTAGTTCCACACTTCTTAAATCAAAATGAGCCACTTGAGAAGTGACAGATTGGAGAAGCTGAGGAAGCTGAAAGTAACCAGCGACAATCCACTGGCAAATATTAGGGCCATAATTATACAGGGAAACAAATACTGCTTTTATTAAATCCAGCAGCATGCTGGGTACATCCCTTGCCGCACCAGGGATGACGTGGGTACAGTGCACAGAGGTCGAGGCTGAGCCCGGGCTCTGCTGCCCATCAACCTTGCAGCTTCGGGAAGCCCTTCAGGAGGGTTTGCCCCTCCAAAGGATACAGATGCTTTCCCCGTGCATCTCACCAGGAGTCGTAGGATCAACTGAGAAGTTGTAGTGAGAGCGGTTTATTCGTGGTGAACTGCTTTTACACGAGCACATTGTTCTTGTCACGTCCATGCTGTAGAGTAAGAAGGGAGAGTTGTAGTTTTCACTTTCAAAGGAGGAAAGCGGAACACGGGGTTTGTTATCTTGTGCTGTGTTGTAGCCGGCCGGTGATGGGCCTTGGGGGGAACCCAGGTCGGCTCTGGGACGGTGGAGAGCAGGGGAGTACTGGCTTTGGTTTTGGAAGCACAGGTCAGGATGAAGGGTTGTCATTTCCAAGGAAAGTTCCCTATTTGTCCTCATTCCACATCCCACTGCCGAGCCCAAGATTCAGCATCTACAGCCAGAAAGGTGTTGGCGAAGATGATGGGGGTCCCAGCTTTGAAAGGGGAGGGATGACAAAGTGGGTGGGGGTTGGGAGCTCCTGTAGCAAGAGAAGCTGGAGAATGGCGGGGTGGGGGGGTGCTTTGTCCTTTTCTTGAGCAAGGATGGCTTCAGATTTTTCACACATGCCTCTGACCCTAATCCTGCCTCTGATGCTGATCACCACCCTTGACTCTTGACCCCTGGTCTTAAATTAACCCTAACCCCATCTTTCCTGCTCTGTGATGCAGTCGTCCATCCACTGGCATCCCTGAACAAGGTAGCAGTTTTCTTAGGGGACCATGAAACCTGTCAACCGTTCCCAGAAGGTCCTGCTGCATAGAATTCCAGAAGTAGGAACCTGGTTACTGAAGAAGCAGGGGAAGGGGCCCTTTTCTTTGATTTGCCAGCTTTTCTGCCCCTGGAGGGCTGAATCCTTCCCTTTGGAGCTGCCAGGCTGCAGCAGATGTTGAGCAGTCAGTCCATAAAGCCCTGCTTTGCCCTCTCAAGTCCTGAGCATGTGAAGTCCCGAGCACGTGAAACCCTGAGCATTCTGCGTCACGGATTGATGCACAGAAGGGCAGTTGTGGGTTCTTCAGACGATCCCTGTTGGGTCCATTTTGCTTGCATCCACAAGAACTCTGCAGTCGAAGCACATTCAGTTTTTAACCTGAAAAAGTTACACTGTGGTGCCCAGGAATGGTGAAGCCGGCAAGATCTCAGAAGCTGGCTGTGGAGACAGTGGTCAGGATGATGCGCTAGGTGTTGGTCGTCGGAGAAGAGTGGAGGAGGAAGGTGCATTTAGAGTCCAGACTGTGGGATTTGAGGCACTTCTCAGGCATCCTGGGACAGTGTCCTGGAAGCTTCTGAGAATGCAGATCTGGAGTTTGAGGAAGGTGAGGAGTAGAGGTCATGACATTAGCGCCATGTACCTAGAAGCAACAGACAGTTGAAGCAAAAGTTGGGTAAGTTGGTGAGGAAGGAAGGAAGGGCTGGCAGGCCCTGAGTAGCCCCGAGGAAAGAAAACCAGAGCAGGAGATGGGGAAGAAGCAGGCAGAGAGGGTGGATCCAGATGTTAAGGAGCCTGTCTGCACCTGCAGAAGACAGCTGTTAAGATCGTAGGAGCAAAGCAAGGCGGGGAATGAGGAAGGGTTTAAGGTAGATGAGGAGGTAGAAGTTGACAGACTGTACATTAAATGGCTTTTATCCTGCTGGTGAAGGACGTGCGTCATAGGGTATGAGTGAAAGAGCAGGTGGGTTATCCATTTGGGGTACGGATAAGGGGCTACACGCCGCTGAGCCTGAGGGCCCAGCTGAAGATGGCTAGAAGGAGCCTGCCCCCTGTCCTCAAGCCCAAGCAAGCGTGGAGTCCCCAGAGGGCTTGTTAAAGCACATTGCTGGGCTCTTCCATGGTGTTTGTGATGCAGCACATCTGGAACCTATTGTTCTAGGAGGTTCCCAGGTGAGGCTGATGCTGCAGGTCCAGGGACCAGTCCTAGAGATCCTTTGGTTTGGTCAATCAGAATGAGAGAACTGATTTGGGAGTTGACTTTATTTATTTATTTTTTTTACTTTATTATTATTATTATTATTATTATTATTACTAGTAGTAGTAGTGAGAGAGAGAAAGAGAGAGAGAGAGAGAGAGAGAGAGAGAGAGAGAGAGAGAGAGAATCTTAAGCAGGCTCCATGTCCAGGGCAGAGCTCCATGCGGGGCTCGATCTCACAACCATGAGATTATGACCTGAGCTGAAATCAAGAGTCAGACATTTAACAACTGAGCCACCCAGGTGCCCCAAGAGGGTTGACTTTAAAACACAGCAGAATGTCAAGATGAAGGTACTGGGTCTGCTGAGAGGGACAGATGAGGCTGAGTATGACTCCAGGGCTCAGTTCTGTCCAGACTGGCCTGGACCTCTAGAGATTGGGGTGCTGAGGTGTGTTAGGGGTCTGACCCCAGCCTGACCCTCCATGGTGGGGTTCCACTGAAGACGCTCTGGGAGGAGCCCAGCTGGTCACCCTTGTAGGGGCCCGATAGAGAAACTGGTTTTCAGCCACTCCCAGGCCATGCCCGGAACCTAATCTCTGGCTACTTTATCACGCAGCCAAGGCAAGCGACCATGCCTGCGCCTGCGGAGGACGGCTCTCAGACTGCCACAGTTGTGAGTGTTCAGGCCACATTATAGTGTCAGGCCCCATTTGCCCTCTCCCCTCCTGTCTACCAGAAGCCTGGAGAGAGCCTAGGGATGGGGAGAAAGTCACTAGGGAGAGGGCAGTAGTCATTAGAGGGGTCAGGACAGAAGACCTGCAGTAAGATGAGGATTTAGTTCTGCCACTCTGTTCCCTCCATGCCCTGAAGTGGATCCCAGCCCCAGCAAGATAGGCCCCAGGAGCACAGAGGTGATGGCTCATGGTTCAGTGAGGACATAAACTTTTCCAAAGTGGTGGAGAGTGTCTACAACCAGCCCCTAAGCCCCCCAGACCCTTACCCTATCCCCACAGCCCTTTCTCCTGGGCACAACACTGGTTCCAAGGCATCTTCCTTCATTGGGTCAGGCTTTAAGGATTTTCTTTTTCACAGCCAGGGCCGGGTGGGTTTGGAAGGGTTTGACCGTCAAGAAAGCCAGGTGGCTTATGGGTTCCTGTGGACCATTTTATATGAGAAAATCCAGGAAGACCATGGCCATCCTTGGTAGTGGAAGCCCTTGCCACTTCTTGTCCCAGTCTGGAGGTCAGGAGGGGAATCTAGAGGGCAGGTATCTTGGCTGAAGCTTCAAGTGGATTGAAATTTACAAGGAGAGAAGATTCTTTCCCCAATTCCTCCTAAACTCTGCTTTTTGAGCTCCAGGGCTGGGCAGGGGCTACCGCGTAGGAAGAGAGGGGACGGACAGGTAAGAGTTGAGAATGAAATGAAAGGCTACGTGAGGCAGAGAACACAGGTAGGGCGGAAGCTCCCCGCTCCCTCTCCAGATCCCAGCTTTCACCGTTCCTGCAGACTAGAACCCAGGGCCCCCTGGTTCCTAAGGTGTGTCTGGAGAAGAGTAGCTTCTCAGCTTCTACCCATGGGCTTCACCATGCAGGCTTTTCTCCAGGTAATCTTGATTTGGTGAGGAAACGAGAAAGGGACGCATCTGGTTGTGACCCAGTCACTACGCCAGATTCTGGCCATCCTACCATACAATGGCCAGGACTAGGAAGGGTTTGTGACTCTGTCAACTGTGTTATTTTCTTAGCATTACGTAAGGTCATCAAATCATTTCTAAATGTGTTGGGTGCCATAGTGGAGCTTGGGAGTGGCCCAAGTGGTGGAATATTACCATAACAGGCAAGAGGCACATCAGCTGTGGGGTCCCAGCCCCTTTCTGTGCTGGGATAATTTTAGTGGCTTTATATCCCTGTCGACCTCATCCTTACAGCTGAAGCTACTTCCAGCCCTGCATTCCTCTCCATTTTTGCACTTGTCTGAATAATCCTTCTGGAAACGAGGTTCGGTGTCCCTGGGTTGACAGAAGAGTCAGCTGGGTGGGAGGGCGAGCGGCGAAGTCTGCACTAGTGTCAGCCAGCTCAGGCAAGGTTTCCAGAGGGAGACAGGGACCCCCCCGACCCTCCACCCACGAGTCCTTTGTCATACTCCACTCCCCTAGGAGTGTTTAAATCAACTTCTGCACAGAACAGTTGAGCCGGTTCCTATGGTTCTAAAAGAGGGAGATGGGGGTTGAGATCCATGTAAGAAAGGCCT